TGAGCAAACAGAACACGTTAGCCTGGGCACAGCGTTTTCTTTGAAAACGTCTTTCTAGACACCACTGAATGACAAGGTCAGAGAAACAAAATATCAAAAGGGAAATTAATTGATTTTGCTGATAATTTCATAAAAACATCAGAAGTGACTGGTTCAGGATAGTTCAAAGAAAGAAATATACTCAAGGCAGGAACAATCATAACTAAAGGGGGTATAAAGCCTTCCCATCCTGAGAAAAGTCTAAAATTCCACACTCATGTTTAATATACTTTTACTCAGTAAGTACTCAACCATCTTTACGAGGGACACTGTGAGCTAATGGGAAAAGGCCAATAATAATGTTTTGAGAGCTGTGAATGTCCTTTTTATCATAAGACCACTTAGTTCATGTTCCAATAGATTTGATTTCATTTTCAATATAAGAATGTGAACTTTATGAACTATGGTTCATAATGAATATGGTTATTATTAATGTATTCAGCACTTTCTATGTGGCCAGCACTGTGATGTTTTACATACATCTTTATTCTCTTATCACAACTACCTAAGGATGCAGCAGGCACTATTATCAACACCTCCTTTTAGAAATGAGTCTGCAGGTGACGAATTTTCCCTAGCTCCCTATTAAAAGGTAACGCCCAGCCCTGGTTAGTTTGGTTCAGTGGTTAGAGTGTCAGCCTTTGAACCAAAGGGTCATGGGTTCGATTCTGATCAAGGGTAAACATCTGGGTCCCTAGCTGGGGCAGAGGGAACCAATTGACGGATCTCTCTCACATTAATGTCTCTATCTCTCTCTCTCTCTTCCTCCCTCCCTCCCTTCTACTCTCTAAAAAAAAAAATCAATGAAAAAAACATCCTCAGGTGAGAAATAACAAAATAATAATAATAAAATGAAAGGTAACACCAAGATTCAAATCCTGATCTGGCCCATAGCCCTGTGTTTTTAACCACTAAGCTTCATAAAGTAATTTGTTCCTGTTGTGTATTAGCATTCATCAAACATTAGCTAGAAAACTATATTAAGCCTACTTTTTATTTATATTCATTTCCAGTACTCCCCATTTTCATTTCTTTTTGCTTATTTCTCCCTACTCCCAGCAGAACATCTGAGAGTATTCACCAAATCATATGACAATCTTCACTGAAGTTTGTCAAATTAAAGAGATAACTGCTGCTCTACTTCCAATCAACGTGTGACAGGCTGTCTTAGTGGCTAGTTCAAGCAGCAGAAAATGACCCCAGTTGTGCCTGTTAATATAAAAATGCAACATGGTTTTTAAAGTCATTAACAGCAATATCCGAAAAGCCCAGCAGATGTCAACCTCAATTCATGAAAATAGAACATTTCCCCCCTTTTAACATTTCCTTCTTTCTATGATGAAACTCAAGGGATTCAGAACTTTGAAAATTCCTGGGCTTCTGAATTTGATGTAGGAATTTTTCATTGTACTGTACACATACAAGTTTTTTCAACATAAAAAGAAAAGCATAACTGTAAGATGTAAACAACCACCGAAAATGAAGAGTTAAAATATACAAAGTCCATTTTGCCTCTCAGGACTCTGGCAAGCTAAGACTATTTCTGACTCTTGACCCATTTATTTTCTACCTCTCCCACACTTCCCCCTAAACCTCTCCTCCCTCTTTACATATCAAAACTCTCATTTTAACTAACTTAAATGAATCAGCACTATGATCTCACATAGAGCATAAAATCTAAATTTTGAAGAGCAATATTAAATAAATTAAAAACAATTTTTCTTTATCCTTAAACAATGCTGTCCATGGTATCTATCCCAATACTGAGTATAGCCATCAAAAGCCTTAACTAAACTTGAAAATAAGTTCCCATTTACAAAACTGTTGAAGATGATAAATTTTATTACTCATTTAGGTTTGAACAAAAATGTCCAATACTCTGTATGGCTATTCCAAGGTACTTATTAAGCAAAATAAAAAGAAGAAGAAGAAAAGAAACACTAGTGATTTTTCTCTGGTAGTTTTATGTGTATCAAATCTGTGGGAATTCAATGATCATCCAAGAATAGTATTTCATTTCTTTGACCACTACTCCACTGCCCATATTTTAACCTCACTGAATTTTTGGTCCATTGCGTAGAAGAATTTCTCTACTAATAAAAATACAGTCCATTAAAGATTAACTTGCCCCCAGGACACTCTGTCTGGAAACAAATTCCAAGCATTACAATCACCAATTTGCACTATGTAGACTTAAAAGCAGATAATCTTATTTATCCTGATTTAAATCGGGAACCTGCACATAGTTTAAGGCAAGTGTGAAAAGAAAAATGGCAAATCCAAATTCACAATAATCAGAAACCAACCAAATGCAGACTTTACTTGGCACTTTTCAAATGAAAAGTGCTACCTTGATATCTATTTTATTTCTACAATTACAAAATTGAAAAATTCTTTTGGGCCCATTATTTAGGTATATAATATATGTCAGAAATTGTGATTGGCACTAGAAATCTTTTGAATCTATATTGTAATATGTATTATTGATAATAATAAAACTGATATATATTAATTTCTTATCATTTACCAAACAGTGTGACCAGTTTTAGCTTATTGGGCATGATCTCTTTTAATTCTTAAAATCCTAAGAGTAAGGTACTAATTTCAGTCCCATTTTACAGATGAGCGAACTGAAATAGAGGCTTGGGAACTGTCCCAATGCCTCATAGGGATTTATTTGAACCTTGGTCTGTGTGATTCCAGGGCCTACACGTACTATAACCACCTGGAATAAGGCAGTAAGGCACATGATTATGTTTGGTTCCGAAAACTGGTCTTGTTCCTTCAAACATGGTGGTTCTATGTAATGTGACACTAGAAACCATGCATCACAAAACGCCTGGTACACTATGCACTGGTTCCACTGTCAAACATGTTCAAAATTTACTTTCTTCGATGGCTTAATTCACTTACTGGTAATTTTGGAAAGTTAAAGCACTATGTTCAATCATTCGAGAATTCTTTGGGGTTGAAATGTGAATATTTTATTACATGTTTGCTGATGAAGAAATGTGAATATTTTATGACATACTGGCTGGTTAACTCTGTTAAGATTTTCTGTTAATAAAAAAAATAAAAAACACATATCACTGCAAAGCAATATTAAACCATCTCATGACAGAATACCAGTATCAAAGGGGAGAGCCTTCAAGTAAAAATTTTTTTTAAAGCCTCACCTATATTTCATTTTATTCTAAATGAAAACTGTTTCAAAAAAACAATCCACTTCTAAAGCTTAGGTTATGCATGAGGGCTTCCTGGAAGCTAGCATCGCTGTCGTTATTTGTATGTGCACAGGTAAAAACAGGTAAGGAAGACGTAGTATTATTAGAAGAGCCACCATCACTCCGAATTCATGTAGAAAACAAATTGGAGTATGTGGTCTATCAGTTAAATCCAAACAATCACACAACAATATTTTTTCAGAATAAGTGTAACATTTTGTTTTATAACCAGAAACTAGGTCAAAAAAATTCATAAATGAAAAAACTAAAATGAGTTATCGAAATGCAACTGAGGCTTTAATTTCCAGATCTACTTTGCAATATTCTTATTTGAATAGTTTATCGCAGTAGTAACTCTCCTAAAATCACATAATTTAAGGGGGAAAAAGAGAGGAAGAGAGAGAGACATGACAAGCACTAGGGATGTTTATCAATAAAAATAAGCAGCAAGGGAGATGAATTTGTAGCTCATCCAAAAACGTCTGCCAAACACTCCTGCTATTTGTTTCCACCAAGTTATTGTTTTGGAAAACATGTTGTTCTCTCTTAAAATAACCTGCTTAAATGTTCTAAAAAGCCACTGCATTTCCAGAGGCTAAATAGCTCCCATATTGCGATGCATTGACTGATAAAGTCAAAGTAAGTTATGCATAAAGCCACACACAAAAAAAGTTGGAAGGCTCCAATGCCCCCTTGTTATAAGGACACTAGCTACTGAATGAATCCACTACTCACCCTGAGTGAAACTAAGGCCTGATCCTTTACAGTATTGTATGACAGTCATTCAAAATGCCTATCACTCCACGTGAAGGAAATAAGCCACATCCATGGCTGCAGTTAGGCTAGTAATTGCCATTTTAAGAAGGGCAAAATGACCTTGGACATTTTAGCAATCACTCTGAGAACTCCAATCCTCCCCTTAAAACACAGAATGTGTTTCCAGTCCAACATGGTTCAAGCTGTGATGCCTGGGGAAGTACCAAAGAAACTAGGGAGTTAAAAAAAAAAATCCCAAGTTGTGAAAGACATAGTCAGACACCCAAAGTACAGGAAAATTTTTATGAACTTAGTGTAGCTCAAGATGTGTTTTATAAGCTGTCAGGAGATGAACACACACTGTCCTCCAACCCCAGCAGCACTGCCCTGACACAAGCCCCAGCTTTGGATGCTCACCCCCGTCCCGGCCCCTCTTACTCCAGGGTGGAGGATGGGGGGCGGGAACTCCTGTCTTAAGCCTTGACATCTGCAGGGAGTTTTCCAATAGCCAGACAAGGCCCCTCAGCTGGAGGAAGTGGATACTGACAAGAGGAAAGAGAGAAACATACAGAGACAGAGCTAGGGTTCAAAGCTGCCAGCGAGTGGGGAGAGAATCACACACAGTCTGTGCGGTCTGAGTGGGTCCGGATGGCACAGCCCAGGTGTCCGGGCTAAAGCTGGCATCTCCGAAGTGCAGAATGTGCCACTTGGGCGCGCCGGCACAAACCCGGCCTCAGGCTTCTCTGAAGCCGGCAAGTTAGCACAGGGTTCCCGGTGCCTAGAGACCTGAGAGGCGTGGGAGGGTGGAGAGTCCCGCTAGATCTCCAGTCCCTGGGTGTCCCCAGGCTCCGCGGGGAAGGGGACCCGGGAACTAAGTCGGCGCTGGGCCGGAGAGGCGGGCGCTGGGGCGCGCGACGGGGATGTCCGGGAAGGAGTTGGGGGGCGCAAACGGGGAGTCCGAGAACGCGGGGGGATGCCCACCTTGTAACATGGCCTCAAGTTTCTTCCTGTCCACGCGGAAGCGCTCCTCGCTCCACTCCGGGCTGTGCAGGGGCGCCCCGGCGACAAGGTCGTCCTCGGAGCCAGGC